TTAAACAAACAAACAAAAAACCAGTTTCTATTGTTAGTATCTATTAATTCTGCAGTGCACTATGTTTGATTATGTACATATTGTGCCTTCCTCCCAGCATTACCCTAACTCTTATACTCTCCCTCCCTTGCTCCCTCCTATCTGTCTAATAATGCTCCCCCTTTTACTAATACTCCCCCTTCTACTTTCCCTTTTACCAATACTCTCCCTTTTACTTTCATGTCATAATTTTCAGTTCCCACATATTAGGGAGAACACGCAGTATTTGTATTTCTGAGTCAGGCTTACTTAGTTCAAACTAGTGATTTCCATTTCCATCCATTTCCCTGCACATGACAATTTTTCATCGTTTGTTAAGGCTGACCCATACTCTATTACACATACAAACCATATTTCTGTTATCCTCTTATCTGCTGATGTCTATCTAGGTAGGTTTCACATCTTGGCTATTACGAACAGGGCCACAATAAACACAGGACTGCAGGTGTCCCTGTAGCATGCTGACTCTCACTGCCTTGGGTATATGCCAGGGAATGGTACGGCCAAGTCCTACGGTAGTGCTATTTTTATTCTTTTGAGGGGCCTCCACGCTGCTTTCCATAGTGTCTGCACTGATTTACATTCCCACTGGCACTGTGGAAGGGCCTGTGCTCCACATCCTCACCAAGACTCACTGCTCTTCGTATTCTTGATGACAGCTGATCTGACTCTGTCCCTGGCTCTTAATGATAAGATTTTTGAGGGGAGTATGGGGGATTGAATTCAGAATCTCATGCATGCTAAGCAGGCACTCTTCCATGGAATTACCTTCACAATCCTTCAATGATAAACTCTGTGTGTGTGTGTGTGTGTGTGTGTGTGTGTGTGTGTGTGTTTACTTAACAGTGTTGGGGGATGGACTCAGGGCCTGGTGCATGCTAGGCAAATGCTGTCACTGAGCCACACCCTTAGTTCTGCATCATCTTTAAGAGGTCAGTTTTTCACAGAAATAAAATGTGATTTGCAATGATTAGACAGAGAAGAAGATTTTTAGGAATATATTTACCACTTAGTGATGCATTTGAGAGTTAGACACATACGCCACAGTGATAGTTTATTTTAGCTACCCCGATGGTATCATTAAAAATATACAGGATGAGAATCCCAAAGGCAAAGGAGATGTTAGCTCCACAAAGTGCTCCAGGCTAAAAAGAAAGTTGTCACACATGTCGGAGGTGAATTTTTGGCATCCCATCAGAATTACTTGCTCCTAATAATTTTTTACCTCTTGATACTGAGAGAAGACATTAGTTATGGTGATTTATTCAATACATTTGTATCTCAGTAGCTGGGATTTACTGTATAAATTATTTCCTCAATGCTCCTGGGTACCCCGACTACCAATGGTTTGCAAAACTCCTTGGGGGGGATGTTCGTGTCCAGGGAGCTGCTTGGCCTGAACTTTAAGTCTCTTAACAACAGTGGGGTTCTACTGGGCTCCGCACTGACTGTCCTACCACACTGATCTGACAGTCCCTAAGTGCAGGTCAGGGCACAGCTGAACCTCATGCTGACACCAGAGCCCACAGCTCATGAACAGTAGAAGGAGCAGAGTTGGAAATTTGAGTAAAGTCTACACATACCCACATGATTTTGTCATGATGTTCTATCATGTGGATGCGGTCATATGTTATGCTTTTTTTTTTTTTTTGCCAGCTCAGCCCACCCTGGAGGCAGGGCTGGAATGGCATGTGATGCCAGGGATTGAACTGTGGTCCCAGTGCTTCGCTTAAGTTTGCCCAAGCAGGTGCTTTAGACCACTAAGCTATCTCGCCGGCCCCTGTTTTGTTCTTTATAGCTGTACTACAGTGGATCTTAGCCAAGAGGCCGGGAAGCAATGTTCTTTATATCTACATTAAAAGGTTTGCATGCACTGATATAAGCGCTCCAGAATGCCATCAAATGAAAGAAAACAAAGGACTGTAATATGATGAGGTATGTAATATTATATTTTTGTGTAAAAAGAAGTGATAAGAAAGTATTTTGAACTTTATTATGTTTACATAGAAGCACTCGTAAAAATTAATTAGCTAGGCATGGTGGTGCACGCCTACAATGCCAGCACTGGGGAGGCTGAGGCAGGAGGATTGCCATGAGTTCAAGGCCAGCCTGGGTTACATAGTGAGTTCTAGGCCAGACTGAACTACAAAGCAAGATTCTGTCCCTGCCAAAAAATTAGTCAAAAGTGGTAGTTACCTTTCAGGCATAGCAAAGGAGGGTAAATAAGGGTAAGCATTTGAAATGAGACATCTCAATATATACTTTTTATATTATTTTGATTTTAAATCCTGTGACTACATCACTTAATATAAAACAATTCACTAAATAAAAAACAATTACAGATTATTGTAATAAATCACTGAAATATTCTAAGCCTAGTTTTCCTAGTTTGTTAGCTATTTTATTTTATTTGGGTTTTTGAGATAGGGTCTTGCTATGTAGCCCAGGCTGGCCTCAAATTCACAATCTTCCTGCCTTAACATCCTCTGGAGAACAGTGGCTTGCTACACTGCAATCAGACTGCCTCTGCTCCTGCTATCAGCGGCACCTGAGGAATCCATTAACATGCAGGGCCCCCAGCCCTAATCTTGCATTTCTCTGCAGGTCTGCAGGGAGACCTGTGAGCCTGCATCTTATCAGGTGGCCTAGGCAGTCCCAGTGTCCAGTGCAGACTTAGAGTTCAGAGCTTCTGAAAGCCAAGCACGTGCACGTCTGAGTCCAACCCAGACAAAGCAAAGCTGAATCCAAGCTGGCATTCTAGGGGCTTCAGACAAGTTATTTAGCCCTCTTAAGCTGTAGTTTCCAAAACAAATGTGCAGCACTTCCTTCCTTACTTCTTTTCCTTTGAGAATGTTTTGGAGGCAGAGTCTTGCTATGCTGTTCAGGCAGCCCTTGATCTCACTACACAGCCCAGACCAGCCTCCAATTTGCCATTCCCCCCGCACCACCCCACCACCCCGAGCCCCTAAGCAGCTGGGTGTGTAGGTGGGCTCCGCCACGATGGACACAGAACGCTCTGTACAGCGATCACATGAGTTTTCTCATCTGGTGCTCCCAATCACTTTAAGAGAGAACCTTTTCAACAAAAGAATTTGAGTTGTTAAATAAAATTTTCCAAACCCCAAGGGGACAAGGTCGAAAGCCAAGGCTCAGGGTGAGCAGATGATTTTGACCAAGGACACTACGGCAGGGCCAGCTCCACTGATATTCATGGCGTCTCTCTGCCTGCTTGCTACTCTGTGAGCTGCATGAGGGCTGGGCTTTCCTCCTCTCTCTACTTCAGACACTGCAAAGCCCTCAGCAGACCACTACTCAGATGCCTGCTCACTCATCCATCCACTCGCCTCTAGCATTCATTCTGCTGTCAAAATCACCTCCTCTGCTTTCAAAAGAGAGCTGGCATTTCCATACACCCCTTCCTACAGCATTCAGGCTGGACCCTGGGGGGAGTCTCGGAGGGCTGGGGGTTCTGGTCTAGGATGGACATTACCAGGGTGGGACGCACATGTCCCTGCTCCAGAATCCAGAAAATGTGTCCCCATGTCCTTCTTTGGAGGTGAAAATGGAGAGTCAGGGGGTTGGAGGCTGCCGTGTCTCCAGCTGGTGGGGAAATCCTGACTGAAAGGATGAGGTTGACCGTGGGAAAGCAACAGGTGTGAAGAGGAGAGTCCCTGTGGCCCAGGAAGCCCAGGTGGCCACAGTTGCAGCCCAACTGCACCCTCGCCCTTCCTCTGGTCAGGCTATATGAGCCAACTCACTGCCCAATTTTTCCAGACCAGTTCAAACTGGGTTTTGTCACTCATAGTCCAAAGACTCCTGACTAATTCAAGTGAAAAGTTTCTATTTAATACACTGAGTCTGCTGTGGCACCAGGGAATGACCAGGAAACATGTGATTACTTGCACTTGCCTCGCCTTGGCAGTGGCAGTCTGAGTCACCCTAGGAAACTTAGGACAGTGGTGTGGGACATAAGCATGAGTTGCCTAATTTTTCAAAAACACCAGCATGGGAAAAATAGTTAACGAGTCTACATGAGGAAGAAAATCAAGGCAAGAGCTAGAGAAATGACGGGCACCTAGAACACAAAGGAGAACAGTGGAGGCACTTTGGTTGTTTGGTGATGACGGTTGACATACCAAGAGGCAGAGCTGAGCCACACTTCCTGTCTTCAGGCATCCTTTATGCAAGTCCTCAAACTGCCTGCATAGGCAACCTGCCTCTCCCTCTCCCTAGCTGTTTGATCTTTGGAATGCTGCTTCCTCTTTTTTATGCCTCTGTTTCCTTATCACCAAATGGGATGAATAACTGTGCTTCCCTATAGGACTGTTGGGGGATGAAATGAGGGAACTGTACAGTGTAAAGTGTCACAGAAGCCCAGACCCATACATACTCTTTTGCAGGCTCCCTGTCCATGGCCTGGTGCTGTCAGCATTCTCCTCTCTCCGGGAAGGGGCTCCTTTTTGGAACAGAACTCATTGTTCTTTTTCCGTTTTTGAGACAGAATCTCCCTATATGATTCAGACTGGCCTTGAGCTCACTGTGTAGCCCAGGCTGGCCTTGACCATGCAGTGCTCCTCCTGCTTCAGCCTTGCAAGTGCTGGGGTTACAGGTGTACACCACCAGGCCCAGCGGAAGACAGAACTTTTAGAAGTATATACTCAAAGCACATTGGCGCTCATCAGTTGCTTTCAAATGAAGCCAAGGGTAACAAACATATTCAGATATGTATCTACTACATCTACACACAGTGCTCATTTTATGCATCAGCTTGACTGGGCTAAGGGATGCCCAGCTAGCTGGTAAAACATCTTTTTTCTGGCCAGCCATGGATACAACCCTATAATTCCAGTTTTCAGAAAAATAATGCAGGAGCACTACAAGTTCAACCCCAACCTGGACTTAGCTAGTGAGCTCAAGACCAGCCTGGACTACAGAGTTTGACCCCATCTGAAAAAAAACTGAATTTCTTCAGTTGCATGAGTTTGATGATTGGCTATCTTTGGCATGTGCATGCAATGTGTCCCCTTCAAATCCTGTTACAGTACTGGCACATTCCATGTCTGACATTTAAAAATATTTTCTGGATGTGTCTGCGGAGGTATTTTCAAAAGCAGTGAGTATTTGCATTGGTCGACTGAGTTAAGATCTGTCCTCTCCAATGTGGGAAGGCAGCGTCCAATGTGTTGAGTGAGAGAATAAAGAAAAAGGGCAGAGGATGGGCCAGCCTGCTGCCTCTGCTTACACTGGCACCTTCGTGTTCTCCTGGTGCTCCAGGCTCTGGGGCCTCGGGCTGCTGGCTGGGATTCACACTATTGGACTGCTGGCTCCACAACTGCAAGCCGGCCTTCCTGGGACTTAGCTAGTAGACAGCAGACTCTCCATTTCCCAGCCTCTGTAATCAAGTGAGCCAATCCCGCATAATAAATGTCCTCCCTAATTTTCCTTTTTTCGTGGTGGTGGTGGTGATGGGATTAGGCTTTGAACCTGGGGCTTGTGCATACTATACAGGAAAGCCACCACTGAGCTAGCACTCCACCCCTTCTTCATGCATATGTTCTGTTCCTATCTTTTCCATAGAATCCTAATATGCATACACACTGTGGTAAGAGTGCATGTGTGGGTCACGTGACTTGGGATATTTTCTGAAATGTCCAAGGAAGTGTCTGACCACACCCTCAGAGATGTGACATTTGGCTAGAGATGCAGGGGCAGGTGTGCTTGGCCAGGGACATACATGTTTGCATTCCCAGAACCCGTGCACCCCAAGAAGCAGCCACCCGTGTGTGGCTGTGCCTGCTGTGGCTTTGGGGCTGCACCTCATCGAGGAGTGGCGTTTCCCCACCTGCTTGCCCTCTGTGTCTGGCAAGCAATTGCCCACTGTGTGCCTGGCTGTGCTCACAGAGCGGGTCCTGCGCTTCGGCGCTGGTGGAGCTGTGGTGCGAAGGCGACTTTTCTTGCTCTTACGGCCCACTCCGCACACCATGGCAGGGCAGTTCTTTCCTTCCTCTTTTATCCCTGTGCCATTAAAATGAAAACCATGGAGCCAGGGAGATGGCTCAGTAGAAGAAGCGCTTGCCTGGCAAGTGCAAGGGCCTGAGTTCAGTCCCTGGTTCCTAAAAAAAAAAAAAAGAAAGAAAGAAAGAAAAGAAAATGACTTAGGGAAGTGAGGGCGGCATGCTTTGGCAACCTAGGCAACACACGCCAGGCGCTTTTTCAAAATCAGATCAGATCTGGTTTCTCTTTCTTTGGCTTCTGAGGAAGCCTCTGGGTGTCTTGTTTTTTGTGGCATGCCTGTTACTGCCTGTGCAGAAGGCAGGGACAAAGCCTCGGGACAGGCCTGAGAAGGGTTTCGGATCAGACACTGTGGTAGGAAGTGCATGGTAAGGTCCTGCCATAGACCCCTGGCAACAGGCTGGGCACAGGCTGGGCACATGCCCACCTACACGGACCTCCTGTGAGCTCCCTGCGGATTCTGAGGCAGAAGCTGTCCTTGGCATTCTGGGGCCTGACAAAAGCCATGGGCCCAGGTCCTTCACTGCTGTCCTCTCTGCTGCGTCCACAGGCTGGCTGGACCTGCCACCACACCTCACTGTGCCCTGCCTCTCTCCCACCTGAACACAGCCCACTCAGACATCGCATGCTTCTGGCTTAACTCTAAACTCCAAGCGCAAAGCCACAGTGTCCATTTTGCACATCGCTGTGTTTCCAAAGCCAAGCACAGTGCCAGACACATTTACTTTAGGAACAGTTACTGAATGGCAACAGGCATAGGAAAATGAGTCTTCCAGAAGTTGCGCCCGGCCCAAGGCACTGGACCCAGCTTCCAGTGAGGCAGTTGTGCTGTGTATCGGCTATGTTCTGGGTAATTTAGTTAGTCATACTAAGTCAGTTCTGCATTCTATGAGCTAATAACATGTACCTCCTAGAGTTATCAGGAGACTCAGTTATGCAGCACTCATGACAGCATGCCACAAGTCATTTCCATTGTTTTCTGCTTCTTTAAAAGAGGCTCACACTTCTTCACCACTGCCAAGGAACCTGCGGCGCTGCCCTGAGGAGGCAGGTACTTCCTACCCCGCTGGTGCCTGGCGCGGTGATGTGATCTGCCTTGCTCAGTGGAATATAAGCTGCAGATGCTACATCAAAAGCCGCAGCATGACTTTGTCAGTGTTCTTTTCCCTTTTGTACCAGACAGGGGCTGCTCTTTTATCCTAGGTCCTGGGATGAAGCCCTTTCAAACTAAGCCATAGCCACCTCCTTCCAATACAAAACACGAGGGCCAGCCAGATAGCTCAGCAGATTAAAGCACCTGCTTAGACAGATGCAGCGGGCAGGGGTTTGACACCTGGCCTGCCATGCCGGCCCCACCCCAGTGGCATACACCTGTAATCCCAGCTCTTGGGAGGCTGAAAAGAGAAGAAATACTATAAGTCCAATCTGTGTAGTGAGACACTGTACACCCTGTCCTAAATACATAAAAAAATAAAAAGAATTCCAATACAAAACACAAGCAAGAAAGACACCATTGCTGGAGCTACTTGTTACAGCAGCACATTTGGAGAGAAAGCTGACTGATACATAGCACCTGCCAAAAAGCAGGGATCTGGAGAACCTCAGTTGGAGAAATAAATTCTGAGGGTTCTCCCACACCCACTGCTCCCATGAGTCTGGTTCTGCAGGTGTAGCAGTCAATCATTAGAATAAATAAACTCAAGGTGACATTTTGTGACACACAAAGGAAATAGAATTGCTTAAAAAATAAAATAGAATGCCAGAGCTGAACCATCCTACTAAAGTACAGCAGTGCCTATGGCCTAGAAACCCAGCTGGAGTTTCTTGCATTGACTAATTTGTTAATAATTTATATCGTATTTGTATATATTTTTTGTTTATACTGAATGAGCCGAGAGAGAAGAGACTTCTCTGCGAAGATGAGGCAAAAATGGCATAAACGTGATGTGTCAAGCTTAGCATGGAGAAGTGGTGGACTCCTTCACAGCTTGGACATTTATTTATTTATTTTCATGTATGTATTTGGTACAGGGTCTCACTACGCAGCTCAGACTCGGAGTGATCCTCTTGTTTTTGGCCTCCCCAGCCCTGGGATTACAGGCATGGGCCACCATGCCTGGACTTGTCGGCTGGCTCAGTGGGCCCTGGGGGTGGGGCTGGTGGCATACAGACCCGGGAATCAAACCCTGGTCCCTGTGCTTGCCAAAGTAGGTGCTTAGCCCACTGAGCTATCTTGCGGGTCCAACAGCTTGGATATTTATGGAACTCCTTTACATAGTTAGAGACCAGTAGGGTGGTGAGCCCCATCTCATGTTCTTTAATCCATGGAGCTGTGTGACACGACACTGGGAGACTGCGAAGCACTTGGTACCCCGGGGCAATGTGCCATCGCGAACCTTCTGTCCCGGGATTTGCAAAGACTGTTATCTCTGTGGTACTCTCTGCAGCCTAAGGATGGCTCGCATGGTCCCCTGGGCTTCCCTGTCACAGTGTCCCTGATGGCAAGGGATGGGGAGGACATCAATGTTGTGCTCGTTATAAAGACTAAACAAATAAATAAGTAAATTTTAAAAATTAAAAAAGAAAATTAAAAGGTGAGGTACTGGAGGTCCTGAGAGGTTCAGAGCATGCCAGCGTCCACCCAGCTAGCCTGCACCAGACTGGCAGCCTGATGCAGGGCCGCATCTTCCTCCACAAGCCTCAGCCCCTTTGGTTCATTCCAGGCAGCAATGCTTCATACAGCACAGCCTTTCACACTGGAAGACTGTCCTTCTGTGTCGGCAGGCTACCCCAGGAATGCCCAGGACAGTGGAGTGGGAAGATGGAGAGGGCGCTGGGTAAGCTGGCACGGGCCTGTCCTTCCCTTCTGAGTACACCTGTGCTTGGGTGTGCCAGGGAAGCCTGCCGCTCCTGCTCTCGTGGGTGGGGGCCCAGCTCCAATCTCCACCCAGGGAATGTTTGTTTGTACCCAAGGTCCTGTGTAGGCAGTGATCCTGCTCAGAGTTGCTCAGGATCTGGCCCTTTGTCCTTAAGGAACAACACTTCAGTGAAGAGACAGACATGCAGTCAGTTAGATCAAAGGGCCTATGGGGGGCGGTGGAAAAAGAACATTATTAAAACGCAAGGCATCGACTCTGGCTGAGAATCAGCAGTGGCGCTGGGGAGTGGGCAGCCTTTAGGACCGGCTTAGGAGAATGAGCAATCAGGCTCTCAACACCCAGGTGCTGCCAAGAGCAGCGTGAAGGAAGCGCGTGCACAGTGCAGGCCCAGCTGGCGCCACTTAGCGTGTAGTGAGTCATACGACCAGACTGAAACTGAGATCTGGGGGCTCCGGGTCCTAGCCCAAAAGCCTGGCTTTATACTCCATAAACACATATGTAGAGGCCAGTCATACGCATCCTGCTCAAGAAAGTCCAGATCTGAGAGGCAATTCAACCTGCACTGAACGTGTGGGGCTTTGGAGACCAAAATCTCCTAATGGCCTGAGGCTTGGAAAATATACTAAGGGCGCTAGGTAGGATATGAGCCCAGAGCAGAGACAGTGTCCATTCCCCATACACAAGGGTCAGGAAGGGTGCAAGCATGGATGTGCTGCACTCAGCATGGGCAAGGAGCTGGGTTCATTCACAGCTTCGATAGTTACTGAGCATCTGCTGTTCTAAGCGTGTGTCTCAGTTACTCTTCTCTTGTTGCTAGGACAAATACTCGACACCCAAAATGAAGGAAGGAAAGGTTTATTTAGCTCATGGTTAGTGGAGGTTGCAGCCCGTACTCAGCTGGTTCCAAGGCACAGTGGCACATGGCAGAGAGCAGCAGTTCATGGCGGCAGCAAAGAGCAAGAGCAAAAGGGAGGAGCAGCAGCAACAGTGGCTGCAGAGAGCAGGTCTGTCTCCCTTAAATTGCATTTAGGCTATTTGCCCCAGGCTGAGTGCAATATTCACACCCATAATCCCAGTAGCATTCACACCCATAATCCCAGCAGCACTCACCCATAATCCCAGTGGATCGAGAGTTAATCACAAACTCTAGAAGTCCACCCCATGACTGCATGAGG